GAAGTTTAGAGGTCACCTTTGATTGTTTAACATTTCAATCTTATGCAAACCTCGCCCTTTTTTCAATTACTTACTGAGTATTCTAATTTGGATCCCAAAATTTCAGACGAAGAGAACTCATATAAGGGTTGCAATGGGTCGGGTGGCCCAGTCTAGTCAGCCCGGCCCTAAAAAACATGTGCTTATGTGGCCCGAGGGTTGGGCTGGGGGTCAGGCAACCACAGTCGGGCCGAGGCCGAGCAACCACCGTTGGGCTGGGTCGGCTAGGGCTGATGTTTTTTTTTCCGTCTTTTTTGCAAATTTATTTGGCCAGACCTTGATAGGGCTTGGGCCATTGCCTTTTATCCTGGATAGGGTTAGGGCCATTGCCTTTTATCCCTAGATAGGGCCGGGCCAGGCCGGTGCCTTTTTTGCTTGGTTAGGGTCAGGCCGTGCCAAGGCCGGCCCTAAGGGGACTAGAGCCAGTGTCAGCTCGGCCCAGCCCTGGCCATTGCCTTTCCCTACTTATAAGCAAGAAAACCAATACACGGTGTTCTCTTTTATTTTTTCAATTCACACTCTTCCATCTAGATAAGGAGCTACTTCCGTGTCGTCATTTCTTTTGAAGGTCAAGAAAACTAATGGGCTTTGGCGATAGGTGGTGTTCATGGGTCAAATGAGGCATTTCTTCATCGTACTTTTCAATACTAATAAATGGTAAGGCGGTGGATTCTTTAAAGCATCAATGAGGCTTAGACATAGGGATCCTTTGTCACATCTCTTATTCACAATTATGACAGGACCTTTTAGTCAGATGGTTGAGAGTCTTAACGTTAGTGGCTGGCTCAGTGAATTCCCCTCTTCTATTAATAGCCCAGGATGACCCACCTATAATATGTGGACGACATTTTATTCTTCTGTAAAGTCTCGCTTGTTGAAATCAGAAATCTCTGGCTATTTCTCAAATGTTACAAGTTGATTTTGGGCATTAAAGCTAATTTCAAGAGGACCAAACTGATTGGTGTTAATTGCAGGGACGGTTTGGTTGTGAATTGGCACACGAGCTAGGCTATGAAACTGAAGCATTCCCTTTCAAGTATTTAGCCTTACCTCTATGTGACACTAGACCGACCAGAGATATATGGAATCCAATAGTAGAGACGTTCCCATACAAACTTGATTCGTGGAAAACCGGGTTACTTTCCATAAGAGGTGGACTTACGCTGCTAAAGGCAACTTTGTCCAATCTTCCAACATATTATACGTCACTTATCAAGGCACTAGGACAGCTTGTCAAACAATTAGAAGCTTTAATGCGCAACTTTCTGTGGAGTGGTTCAAATAAAAGGAAGAAATATCCTTTAGTGAACTGGAAAACAGTTTGCCTTCCAAAGAAAGATGGTGGCTTACATTGAACGATTTGCTCTGTTCAATGATGCTCTGCTCATAAAATGGTAGTCGAGAATGGTAGAAGGGAGTATACCCAGTGGAAGATGATGTTAGAAGCTAATTATGGGTCGGACTCGCAAGGTTTTTTAATCATAAATCCTTGCTCTAGCACATCCTCTTCACCTGTTTGGAGGGACATCGATAAGAAGTGCAGTAACTTATTCCTAGCCCATTCTATTATATGATCGAAGAGGGTAAAAACACTTTTTGGCATGCAAAGTGGCTAGGGGATTCACCACTTAAATTTCATTTCCTGGAGCTCTTTCAAAAGACTAACTGAAAGAATAGTACTGTTAAGGACTTAGCTGTGGGAGAAGCACGAAATACTCGATGGGAAATTGCTTTTAACGTATAGAAGAGTGGAAGAAGGAATAATGCCCGGGCTTAATTGGTTAGCGCTTGACGATTTGCAACGCCACGCTTTAGACCCAATTTTTACACAAGGTAGGGGCCCTCTCCCCACTTACTCACCCAAAAAAAAGAGTGGAGGATGAAATTGCAAATCCGTTTGGGGTTGGTTTTTTAATTGGCCGGTAATGTTATTTGGTGTGATAGCTCTCAAAAGACGGGCGCTACTCGATCAGATATATATATACACAATTTTGAGCAGTGATAGATATTTCCAGCCCTCTCCAGCAGCAATCTGGTGTGGAAATTCGAAGTTCCTCTACGAGTGAGAATGTTCCGGTGGCTTGCCGTAAGGGATCAAACGTTATCAGTTGAACAATTGCAAAAGCAAAGCGTTGTAACTACCAATATTTGCCTTATTATAAGGGCGTCTTTAATAACAGGAAGCTAAGGGGAGGAAGAAATAACTTCTCCATGACTATATCCCCAATGTCTCAGAATGATTCTGGGCCGATCTGACGATCACAGATGTCCGGTGGTATTTGAATTTTAGTTTTTTTCTACAAATCCAAATCACTCGAAATTTTAGACACCTATTCATAAAAAATAGGTGAATATTTGAGAAATATCGAACAAATATTTTACATGAAATAAATTGACCAAAATACCCTCGAAAAGTTTTGAGAGGTATTTTGGTCATTTTATTTTTTACGGATATTTTTTTATATATTTTTATTAGATGCGCCTTGATGAGAAGAACACTATGATAAAATTTCAAGTGATTTGGGTTTGTACAAAAAAATTAAAATTCAAATACTACAAGACATCCATGATCATCAGATCGGCCCAGATTGAATCTGAACCGTTAGGCTCATATATTCATATGAGCTAATGGGCTAATCCCATATTTTCCCATATATATATATATATATATATATATATATATATATATATA